ATGTATAGTAAAACCACGTGTATAGGAAAACAACGTGTATAGTAAAACCATGTGTATAGTAAAACCACGTGTATAGTAAAACCATGTGTATAGGAAAACGTGTATAGTAAAACCATGTGTATAGTAAAACCACGTGTATAGGAAAACACGTGTATAGGAAAACAACGTGCATAGGAAAAACACGTGTATAGTAAGGCCTTTATATCAATTGCGACTGCATCCAAAACTCCAGGTCAACGAAGTTCTTTCGGAATCGAATTCAAAAGATTATACGTACACTTGTCGCATAGCTACATTTCTTAAACATTTGGCTTTAAAGAATATTTGTTTTTTTAATGCATTCTTTTCTAAGATTATATGTGTCCATAATCTAAGACTGTTAGAAGAAAATAATTGAGCGCTATTTAGATTTACTCATTGATTGCGTGCCATTTACTTTACATTTCTCTATGGTCTCTACCGCTTTACGAATAACGTTTGTGGCTTTGTGCCATGAAAAATGTAAAGTTATTAAAATGCTTTTGTAAAAAAATTCAAACGATTTTAACGTCATTAGGTCCCGAGATATTGCTTCAAATGAATAGTCGTTTTGCTCCCATGTTTCATAAAAAGATATAAAACCGTTGCCTTCAAAATGTTGAACAAATTTTACTTGTCACTACACTTAAGATTATGTTTGTCGATTTCAAATACAGGAGAAAGAAATCTTTGCGAGTTATTTTATTCACTCGCAAACTTCTCACACTCGAGAAGGACTCGCAACTGCTTCGCGAGTGACTCGCTCAATCGCAACTCGTCCCTCTCGAGTGACTAGCACACTAACGCTAATATCGTATAGAAATAGGTAGGTCTATTGTACAGGCAATAGCAATAGGTATAGCAACAGTAAATATATTTAACTTTTTTCTCTATGTCATAGGCCACACATTTAGGTTCTATAAGTTTTCGGATTCCCATTAAGAATGAAAAAGCGAAGAAGAAAATAAAAAATGTAATGTCAACATGGCATAATTCGAGTTTTTCGAAAGTGTAGGGCTACAAAAAAAACAAGTTTAGAAATCTAACAAGAATAAAAATACAATCAATTAATGCCAATCAATTAATTTTAATTGGAGGTGCGCCCAATCAATTAATTTTAATTGATGCTTTGTCCAATCAATTAATTGGTTACAAATAATTGCAATTAATTGAAACTCAATTAATTTTTGACAACCCTTGAGGTTAATGTGTGGTCGGCACTAGATCATGGTCAACTAACGTACGCGCCCACATATTATTCTTAATATGTCAGCGGTAAGTAACAATTAACAAATACTCATGTATTCATTATACGAATGATTTTACCGCACTACATATTGCGTTTGCATATGGCAATAAGGCAAATTGGCTATAGAGAAAGCGAGAAAAGATTACAAAGATTTCAATTCAATTTTGGTCAGATGTACTTTCATTGAAATGTCTGCCTTGCAGAAGTAATGGATTGATAGTACTTTACAATATAATAACCGCACTTCAAAAATTGCAGATTTACTGGACCTAAGCACTAACTGTAAAAACAACAGATTTCTAAAGAAATGTTTAATGATAATAATATCAAATTTACATACCACAACCAAATGATCTTCCGGGCTCGCTACACAACTGTGTAAAATTTATAAGGTAAATTTATTATTTCTACATTATCTAGACTGTATTAGTTATATGTCCCCAGTTAGTTGTAAGAATAAATACTATGTCCATGATTCACAAATAGAAAATGTTAATTATGTCATCATTAAATAGTTGGTTCATACATGTCATCATTAAGTATTTGGTTCATACATGTTATCATTAAATATTTGGTTCATACATGTTATCATTAAGTATTTGGTTCATACATGTTATGCTTTACTATTTAAAATTCAAACAAAAGTTCTGCTTTAATATGTGTATGAAATTTTGTGAAATTTCTTTCTTCACCATTGCACAATAACCAAAAAGTAGTATATCTCTAGACAAGCATATGCTTTCTGCATTGAAGTTATTATATAATATATACCTATCAATTTATTTCTGTTGAGACAGCACCACCCACTGCGAGTTTGTTTTTTATAATCACCGAATATTTCCAGCATTTCTTCTTTGGAATTGCATATTACAATACCTTTGTCTAAACCGCTGTTGTTTTTGGCTTCACTCGCCGCATACTTCATTGGAAACTCCATTTTCGAACTAGCATTTGGCAACAATTCCATGATTTCCCGCGCTTTTTATGTTTAGATTCTCATAGAATATACGTATGGCAAGTTGCAATTTTACAATGTAGGAAAATATGAATTTTTTGTTGCTCGAAAAACATTTAGCCAAATGCCATTGTATCTTCTCATATGACCATAAAATCAAGAAATGGTGCATTCAATGCTGTTTGGGAGGTGGTTGCATGGAAGTCGAGCATTCTTCATGAAATTATGGATGGTCATTGCAGAGCACAGAGCACCCCAACTTGACAAAGATTTTTAGTTTACAAAATTGATAAAGAAACTTGTTCATGTTAAGTGGTAATATTATTTGCAAACACTATGACATCATGCAATGACTTTTTACAATTACCTTTCACTATTTGAGAGAGTTGCATCTAAGGCAAGTTATGTTTTACAGCACTGGGTCTATGCCACAAGCATAACAAAAGCAGGTGGGAGCCTTTTAAACTGTTCGAAAAATCCTTTGACAATGAAAGGAATTATATGCTCAAAGGTTTTTCTGAACAATCTGTTTTTCCATAATACAATTTATTTTGGTGCTCAGAGATTCAATGTGAAAATTTTTGCCAAAGATGAATGTAGAGAATACCCAGTGTTACATGTTAAGATATATTGTTACCATTTCTTGTTTTAAAGTATTTTCAGGAACATATGTGAATTAGCTACTGTGATTGATATCACAACTCAACATTCAATCTGGCTGCACCTGTACTATGATTACCTATCAATTTTTCGTGATAAATCAATATGCTCAATTGAAAACTATCCATTTCATTTAATGAGCACTTAAGTTAGATTGTGGTTCACTGTGTGGATGGCACTGCTGGAGACAATGAGTTTTCTAAATTTCCTGACAATAACTTTAACAAAGTTAAAAAGTTACCACACCTGTACATTAACTCAAATCAGAAAATTACAAGCAAGTATGGACAAACAGTCAAACACATTAAACACACAAACTTTATATTATTATGCAGGAAGTTTGGAAAAAAATTTGAAGATACGAATCTAGATGGGTGTGTTTATCATGTATGTTGCATCTATAATAATTTTTATTAGTACTACAAATAACAGGAAAATATTTAATATCATATCTGTAATAAAAATAGAGTCCATTTCTACTTTATAACATTACATTGTTCACCTTAGGTCCAGTGAATTTGCAATTCTTGAAGTGCGGTTATTGTATTGTAAAGTACTATCAATCCATTACTACTGCAAGGCAGACATTTCAAAGAAAGTACATCTGACCAAAATTGAATTGAAATCTTTGTAATCTTTTCTCGCTTTCTCTATTGCCAATTTGCCTTATTGCCATATATAAACGCAATATGTAGTGCGGTAAAATCATTCGCATAATGAATACATGAAGAAGACCATATCTCATAAAATATAAAACATTGGACTTTCAAATTTGGCGAATAGGCTAATCATTAGCTAAGCTTTCATATGAAGCAAAGTTATATCAAGCATTTCATGTGACCTTTAATCATAGCATTCCAATTTCTATCCAATCGGCATGCACAAACGACGCACAGTTCACCTTATATGGAGGTGAGTGCTTCAATGCTCAATCGATTCTCGTCAGTCATACGTTTTCATCATAAATTATTTCATTCACTTGGTTGCCAACAGCACAAGATCAACACATCCATCAATACAAATTGTTATATGGTGTCATATATGTATCTCTTAAGTCTCCCTGTGCTTCTTTGTTAGTATATCATATGTTTTCACCTGGATTCATGTTACTCAGTTGTTTTAGCGAGGAATCACTTTTATACACATACAAACTTGAATGGTACAGTCGTTGCAGTCATTATTCATAGCATTTCCATTATTGAAAGCGTAAATCGTCGTATTTTGAAAGTCTGTTCTTGATTCTTCAATTAATAACCCAGATGTAGAAATCTACAAAAAAAAGATAATATTTAAACACTGTTGCATTATCATAAAAAGGGGAATATGAGAAGGCAATGTAATAAGCCTAAAAAAATAACTTACCTTTATCGTATTTGCTGATGATCTTATTTACATATAGATATAATATTCATAGTTATATTTGAGCGCTTTATGATCTTATTTATATATAGGTATAGATTTTAATTTCTTCACAAGATTAACAAGCTTAATAACTCACCGCTGACATGAATGAGCTTCACAAAAAGCAGTCTAAAAGAAAGTGACACAAATCAAACAAGAAATCATGCCGTGTTTTTATTTCAACCTAAAGAACAAAATCAGAATTGTGAACTGTCTTAAACAAAACTTTAAGCTTTTGACAAATATGAAACATTTTCAACAGGAACCATATGTCTTTTCAAAGTCAAAAAACTTTTCAAGGTTAAAATCTGTTCAAATGTCCACAATGTTTACATCAACCATGTGGCTTTTTACAGAATCATATTTTACAAAATCAAATTTAAGCTCCGGTTAACATGATTTAATTGTTATTGGCCGAGTTCTAAATGACAATATGCAAATTTTTGTAAAATGAGCTTTGAAAACTGTTCATCCAATTATTCCATTTTGAAATTAGCATAATTATACATACATACAGTGTTACTTCTTGCATCTACTTCTATAAATTGATTTATATGACAATTTGAAAATAAAAGATGACACAATTAGCTTGTCTTTATGCAATGACAAAGTATACGAGTTGTTGCGGTTTCTTGCTGTATTTTTATTTTTACCATTCATTATTGTATTGTTTATGGCAGATGATAAATGATGGAAAACACGCAATAGCAGTTTCCAAACTGTTTTACCTTATTCGGTGGAGGGGCAGCACTTCCCTTGCGATAGTAACTCCTAGTAAGAAAATATGTGGCGCGTACGTTAGTTGACCATGATCTAGTGCCGACCAATTCAAGTTGGGAAATGCATTTCAGTATCTAGAATGAAAACAATGACTTTAGGGAAACGTAAAAATATGCGCCGAGCGGAACGAGCATTTGAGCCACGAAAACGAGTGTTCAACAAGACGAACATAAACGTTAAATACATACGTAGAAAATATCTTCAAATAAAAAATATTTTGAGAAAAAACTTCATTTTCTTATGTATATTTATTACAGATGTACATTTGTGATAATGATTCTCTGATGAAGGGTATGAAATACAGTCAACAAAGCACTTGGAAAATGAAAGGTAAAGACTGTAGCAATATCGTAAAGATAAGACTACAGACAAGACCTAGACTTTTCCTTTGATGAAAAACAATCGATCATATTTTCAGTCGTAGACACCAACCATAATATATAGCAAGATGATTCTCTCTACCTCGAGCCAAGACTTCTGATGTAATTACCATCCGTTTGAGCGATGGTAAGAAGTGTCTTGATCGTCTCCATGTTCTTCGTTTTCATTTCATGAATATGCGCCACTGGTCGCAGTAAGTAAAGTGAACCTGGATAGAGCTTGTACGAAAGCATTTCTCCAACTACAATGTGAAAAGAGTTATTAGGAGTATCGAAAATGAACTTAATGGTAAAGAATCTCCATTCATATTCCCTAACATCATTATAACTAGCTGTAATCATTGAAAAACTTTTAAGAAAAGATTATTTCACATTCACATGCATTCTGATATATCCATATATGTATACAAACAGACAATCAAATTCAAAGGTAAACAAACATCTGTTTTTATTGTATACATATGAGTATAATCTAAACCTTGAACATATAACACGCAAAGAACATGGCGTGTATGTAACTACGTAAATATATTCATAAATTTCAACAATTCAATTCAATTCAATTCAACATTGGTTTGTTGATTATATTTTTTACTTCCATGTGCTTTGATTGTGTTGTTATAAAATCACCATCAGTAAAATTTCAGGCTTCATCTATTAACAGGGGTCATCAGCTTCAACAACACACTCTTGTGTCACTTCGAACAACATCAGAACCATCAACAAGGATGTGAATCCAGACATTCCGAGTAATTCAGCTGATCATCAAGAAAATCATGATGAGGTATCAAGCAACCCAGCTTGACTTGTTTGTGTTGTAATTGTGTGGATCCAGATGAACCATTGCTCCTATTTTGCCTGAATTAGCTTAAAAGCATTTAGTCTGCTTACTATATATTGTTTTGTTCCTCTATGCTTTAGTTATGTTGTATTATGTTTGATGAAGAGTCACTATAAGTAAAATTTATGATTCAATCCTCTATTAACAGGGCTTGTCAGAATCAGCTTCAACAGTGCACACGTACATCTATTCAAGCCACATAAGAACCATCAACTTGGATGTAAATGAAGACATTGTTCTTTGTACTTCAGCTGATCATCAAAATGATGAGGTATGAAGGCTGAAGCCATTATTTGTATACAATATTTGTTCTAATGCTAGTTCATAAATATACAATGTTTCATGTTTGGCTCAGTTACTTAGGAAATTTTCCTGAACTCAATTATTTTGTTATATAAAATCTTTTGTTATATAAAGAAATTAACATTCTCTTTCCATGAATGGATGTAATTCCACTTTTCATTTTTGTTACTCATTGTGGAATTACATAAATTCCACAGTAAATACAGTGTTGGAGTTTTGAAAATTTTGTTGCGTTATTTCTTTACTTCTTTATGTTGTATGTTAAGGTTGAATTTTACTATTTTTTAAGAACATTGGACCAGAGAGACATCTCAAGGACCAGCCTAGTTCCAAGGAGTCCCTTGACAGCTAATGTGAACAATTCCAATTGGTTGTCCAAGTTTTGTTTGCCAACAAGAGTAAGTAGCATTAAAACTTAAGTAGTTTTTTACACACTACAAGTTTAAAATATGTTAATAAAGATTGCCATATCATATTAAACCATGCTGTTTGTGTGTAGTGGGAACCAGCAGTGGAGGAGGCATTGAAAAGGCAGGAACTAAATCCAAATGAAAAAAATGCATTAAACAGGCAATTAACTTCTTCAATTTTGGCACATACTGAATCGCCAACTGTTCATGAAAGAAAACACATTGCTCTTATGTTAATTCAAAAGTATCCATTCTTAAAGGGATCATTTGGTTCTGGTCATGTAGGTTAAAAAATCAATTATATTGCTGCATAATTCAGTTTCATAAAGTACTGTCATTGTTTTTTTTTTCCAGCAACTATGGGCAAACAAAATAGCAGACCGAGTCCTTAGTCTGCGAAGAAGAGCATCCCAAGCTCAAAAACGAAAGCGGCTTGAAGAAGGGGTCCTAATTCCAAAGGGAAAACCAGGTAGGAAAAGTAAGAAATCAGCTTGCAATTCTCTCCCATCTCTTCCAGAAGGTGAAACAAAAGCAGCTATTGTAATTCAACAAAAGCAGTTGGTTGAAATGTTTAATATTGGCTCGCAAGACTTGAGCAAGATCAATGTGTTGATGAACAATACCTTTGCTCATCGGCGTAGAGACATTTTGGTGAACAATACAAGGGTTTGGAAGCTTCTGCATGACTACCCTTTTTTCAAACACACCAAGGGAGTTGAAGTAAGGTTTCATTTTATTTTCTGATTTTTTGAGTTTGTTTGAAGTATCAGGCATGTTAGCCTGATGAGAGGGTAATATTCATATGTGCGTGGTATACTTTACTAGATTCTAGTACTACAAACAATTTTAATTCAACAGATTATATGTAGCATATGAATTTATGAATATGAGTTTTTTGCCAATTATTAATCTGCCGCTGTCCATTAGTAAGCAAAACTGTCAGTTGTATCACAATTACTTAGAGAAACATAATTAGTTTTTTGGTTTAATTTTTTCCAGCTGAAAGCAGAGTTAGGACGTATTTTGGAGAAGAGTGATGTTGTGCAAGACATGAAGGAACAATGGAATTTGCACAAATATAAAATGCTGTCTGCTATTAAAAATACAAAGCAAAAGAATGTCAGCAGTATCCTTGAAGAGCTGGAGGATTGTCCAGTTGAAGAGGAGGAAGGTTGGTGTAAAAATCAATAAGTTAAAATCCCTATTTATACTGAAGTGTTAATGCTTTAGAGAGTGATAATGGTAATATATTCATTCTATGCTATGTTGATTATTTTAGAGGTCAAGAACTGGTGTATAATGGCATGTTTGCCTTTTGTGTTAGATGACCAACGCACCCATCAAGATATGAACAAAAAGCTATTTTGGGACATTGTTGATGTAAGAGTTGGTATTGTCACAAATAATATTTTCTGCATAAATGTGTGAAAAAATTGATGAATAATTTTATCTCTGTTGAAGGGTTAAAGATTGGGGGAAGTTCAAGAGATCATTAACAAAAGTTCGTCTCCTAGACTCCTATCAACAGGAACATTAAGAAACATTCATTCAATAATGTTGGTGGCTGAGGGGATGATTGTGGCAAAGTTGAAAACAGAAAATATTGTCAACGCAGTTATTATTTTACTTAGTTCTTTTTATACTTTTAATGCTGAGTATCCTAAAGGCGTTAATGGACATGGCAAAAATGTATTTATTCTTTTAGAACATTTGCTTTTAAATTCGAGTGGCAATTGTAAGGCTCAATTGCCAACTTTTGTCGATAATTTTATTTCTTCTATGAAGTAGAAAACTTTTGTAGTGTTAATTAATGGCATGTAGTAGAGGTTTTAAGTATTCTGTGTTTGCAAAAATGTGCTATTTCTAATTGTGTGATTGATTTTCTTTAGCTTAGTTAAAAGATCCTCTATATTGGTCAAATGGTCATGGATATGCACCTGAAAAAATGCTTATTTAATGGTAAAACAACCAAATAAAATTGGTCAAATAAATTGGTAAATTTACCATTTTGTTTTGGTATTTTGACCAATTTAGGAATTGGTTGTTTTGACCTATAAAGACATCGTTCAATATCTTCACGACACCATGACCTTCCGCAGCTCCTTTTGCAATTGTCAAATTCACGATGGAGCCACATTTTATTAAAATCTTCACAGCACTTTAAAAGAAAGAAACAGAAATAAGGAAAAATACACGTTGATGATGTAGCGATTTCTACTGTAGTCTTCTGTTTGTACGTAACATATTATAAATAACAAAATTGTGTTATTGTCTTCAATGTTCTTTTAACTGAACTACAAGACCAACTGTGGACTATGATGATATTTCAAAACACAGTTCTAGTTTCTTTCATACTTCAATATCATACACAATAACATCACGTTGTTGTGATGTACTCAGGTATAGTAACAAGATAATCATTCTCTTCAACTGAATACAATACCAACTGTAGACTATGATGATATTTTAAAATACAGTTCTAGTTTCTTTCATATCTTTAATATCATAGATAATAACATCACGTTGTTGTGATGTACTCAGGTATAGTAACAAGATAATCATTCCCTTCAATGTCTGCCAACTGAACTACAATACTAACTGTAGACTGTGCTGATATTTCAAAAGACAGTTCTAGTTTCTTTCATATCTTAATATTATACGTAAATAATAACATCACGATGTTGGGATTTATTCAGGTATCGTAAAAAAACGCGATTTTTCCATAAGACATCACTTAAAAATTAAAAACTCTGAAAATACATACTCCTCTTGTTCTATCCCAACCAAGGACTCGCCGTCAACCTCAATGATTTGGTCACCGGGACTCACACGGCCATCCTAAAACACAAAGAAAACAAAAAAAAATTATCAATTTATCCAATAAAAAGAATTCTTAAAAATGTCCAAAACATCAATCGACGTACCACAGCAGCTGGTCCATTGGCAATAACCTCTTTAACGTTTATACCAGATTTTCCCTGACCGCCGCCCTGAAATATAATGCGTTTTTTTGGATATGCAGGACTAACTCTTTTCCTGGATTTTTACTAACGAGAGGACTTAGGTTGGTACACATAGTTTTGATTCATACTCCTTCAACGATTGTACAACCATCAAGAGCAGGGAGAGGGGAATTTTGGGACCAATACCAGCCTGATAATGCCAGGGGGAGATAGACTAGGGGCATTACAAACTTAATGATAGCCGCGGCGGGAGAAGAAGTAAAGAAATTGAAGATTTTCACCTTAGCAGCTACGATGCTGACGCCCATTCCCTTGTTTCCTTTATTTAAAGTAATTTTAATAGTCTACAAAATAAACAACATAAAAACCGTTAAATTAATTGAAGATAAAATCCCCTGGATTTAAGATTCAATCCATGGCTTTAGGTCCGTGACATAGGATTGAGCCTATGGAGAGAGATTTTTCATTCAGCCCAAAGAATGTACATAATCTTTCACAATTAGATCATTCACACACAAATATCCAATTCCATGATTTAAAATTGAGTCTCATGGAGCCCGAATGAAAATTCGAATCTACACTTACGCAATTAAAAATTTCGCCACATGATTTTAAACATTATCCCAAGGTTTGTAAGAGTTATTCACATGATATAAAACTTAATCCTGTGATTAAGGATTATAAGTTCAAGATAAAGACATACGTATACTGTAAACAAACCTCTAAAGGAGGACCCTCGGTTACTAAAAATTCAAAGAGAAAGAAAATTGTCGTGAGCAAACATAAAATCATCTTTTGAAAAACAAATGAACATCATGGAGCAAATTTACCTTCAACAGCCTCAAAATGAACTGTCCAGTATCCGGATGCCTTTGGTTGGATTGTAAGTTTGCATAAACCTTTAGAAGGGACAATGAGGAGCAATGAAGAACATTACGAGATTTAGAAATAACTACGTATAACATGGGCGAAAGAGCTAGGGTTAACATCAGTATTATGATGAATATGTAAATAGGGCAATTTAGAGCAATGAGGAACATGATGAATATGTATGTATAAAATTCGAAGTATAACTGATCAGCAATTGTGTCATTTTTCTTATATCAAGTATTGAGTTGGTAATGAACCTTTTGGAAGATTTTTTATTTCATAAAAATTATATATTTTAACTACAGTCAAATTAAATTATTTTTGCTAAGGATAGGTAAATTTTCCATGAAAAGTTTTAATCTAGAAAGAAACTTCTACGAAAGCTCTTCTTTATATGTTTTTCATTCTTAAAATTTTGGAAAACATTGCAGGAAAAACATCGGAAAGCATGAATAAAACTGGTAAAAGGAAACTTGATCGTTTCTCGATGAATTCGGCGGGTCGAAACACGAGGATTGAGATTATCCAATCCAGCTACCTGGGGCAATTAGAGGAGAAAGGAACTCCTAACTCCTTCAATCCTGGTGGCACGCCGCAAGTATTCTCGACGAAATAACTATCGTCAGGAAGTAAGAATGGTAATTGTAGTTCCGATTCTTCTTCAAGATTTACTTCATCTCCATCAATGCGGGCGCTCTGGTCAGCGGTTCTCTCCGCAATACTAACTGCTTTTTCGATGAGGTCCAAAGAGACGGGAGGCTTGTCCCTCTCTGGCTGATAAAAGTCCAAAAGTTGACGTATTTGAAGTGAGTTGAATTTGAAGCAATTTGATGCGATGTTTGCCGAATCTTGCTTCAGCATTTGTAGTAGCAATGATGCCTGGTGGTGGAAGGATAAACAAGGATTAACATACATAGTATATTATATGATGTATAGTATATTGTGTGATGATCGCGGACGGGATTCATTATGTAGTACACTACTTATAACAGACTGTCAAAGTAATACATACAGGGGTCGTTACAAAAGAAAGGTGAGGGACAGGGAGACCATTTAAGAACAATGCTAATGGGTACAAGGGATCATTTAAGAACAATGCTAATGCATACAAGGAATCATTTAAGAACAAAGGTAATGGTTACAAGGGATCATTTAAGAACAGTGCTAACGTATATAAGGGATCATTTAAGAACAGTGCTAATGTATACGATGGATCATTTTTTAGAACAAAGGTATTGTTCACCAAAATGTCTCTACACTGATGAGCAAAGGTATTGTTTATTAAATGTCTCTACACCAACGAGCAAAGGTATTGTTCACCAAAATGTCTCTACACCGATGAGCAAAGGTATTGTTCATCAAAATGTCTCTACGCCGATGACCAAAGGTATTGTTCACCAAAATGTCTCTAAGTTAATGAGCAAAGGTATTGTTCACCAAAATGTCTCTACGTTGATGAGCAAAGGTATTGTTCACCAAAATGTCTCTACGCCAATGAGCAAAGGTATTGTTCACCAAAATGTCTCTACGTCGATGACCAAAGGTATTGTTCATCAAAATGTCTCTACGCTGATGAGCAAAGGTATTGTTCATCAAAATGTTTTACGCCGATGAGCAAAGGTATTGCTCACTAAAATGTCTCTACGCCGATGAGCAAAGGTATTGTTCACCAGAATGTCTCTACACTGATGAGCAAAGGTATTGTTCATCAAAATGTCTCTACCACAATGAGCAAAGGTATTGTTCACCAAAATGTCTCTACGTTGATGAGCAAAGGTATTGTTCACCAAAATGTCTCTACACCAATGAGCAAAGGTATTGTTCATCAAAATGTCTCTACCCCAATGAGCAAAGATATTGTTCACCAAAATGTCTCTACGCCAATGAGCAAAGGTATTGTTCACCAAAATGTCTCTACACCAATGAGCAAAGGTATTGTTCACCAAAATGTCTCTACACTGATGACCAAAGGTATTGTTCACCAAAATGTCTCTACGCCAATGAGCAAAGGTATTGTTCAACAAAATGTCTCTACCCCGATGACCAAAGGTATTGTTCACCAAAATGTCTCTACGTTGATGAGCAAAGGTATTGTTCATCAAAATGTCTCTACCCCAATGAGCAAAGGTATTGTTCACCATAATGTCTCTACGCCAATGAGCAAAGGTATTGTTCACCAAAATGTCTCTACACCAATGAGCAAAGGTATTGTTCACCAAAATGTCTCTACACTGATGAGCAAAGGTATTGTTCACCAAAATGTCTCTACACCAATGAGCAAAGGTATTGTTCACCAAAATGTCTCTACACTGATGAGCAAAGGTATTGTTCACCAAAATGTCTCTACGCCAATGAGCAAAGGTATTGTTCATCAAAATGTCTCTACACAATGAGCAAAGGTATTGTTCACCAAAATGTCTCTACACCAATGAGCAAAGGTATTGTTCACCAAAATGTCTCTACACCAATGAGCAAAGGTATTGTTCACCAAAATGTCTCTACACCGATGAGCAAAGGTATTGTTCACCAAAATGTCTCTACGCCAATGAGCAAAGGTATTGTTCATCAAAATGTCTCTACGCCGATGAGCAAAGGTATTGTTCACCAAAATGTCTCTAAGTTAATGAGCAAAGGTATTGTTCATCAAAATGTCTCTACGCCGATGAGCAAAGGTATTGTTCACCAAAATGTCTCTAAGTTAATGAGCAAAGGTATTGTTCACCAAAATGTCTCTACGCCGATGACCAAAGGTATTGTTCACCAAAATGTCTCTAAGTTAATGAGCAAAGGTATTGTTCACCAAAATGTCTCTACGCCGATGAGCAAAGGTATTGTTCACCAAAATGTCTCTACACCAATGAGCAAAGGTATTGTTCACCAAAATGTCTCTACGCCAATGAGCAAAGCTATTGTTCATCAAAATGTCTCTACACTGATGAGCAAAGGTATTGTTCACCAAAATGTCTCTACGTCGATGAGCAAAGGTATTGTTCATCAAAATGTCTCTACGCCAATGAGCAAAGGTATTGTTCACCAAAATGTCTCTACACCAATGAGCAAAGGTATTGTTCACCAAAATGTCTCTACGCCGATGAGCAAAGGTATTGTTCACCAAAATGTCTCTACACCAATGAGCAAAGGTATTGTTCACCAAAATGTCTCTACGTTGATGAGCAAAGGTATTGTTCACCAAAATGTCTCTACGCCAATGAGCAAAGGTATTGTTCACCAAAATGTCTCTACTCCGATGAGCAAAGGTATTGTTCACCAAAATGTCTCTACGCCAATGAGCAAAGGTATTGTTCACCAAAATGTCTCTACGCTGATGAGCAAAGGTATTTTTCATCAAAATGTCTCTACGCCGATGAGCAAAGGTATTGTTCATCAAAATGTCTCTACACCAATGAGCAAAGGTATTGTTCACCAAAATGTCTCTACACCAATGAGCAAAGGTATTGTTCACCAAAATGTCTCTACGCCGATGAGCAAAGGTATTGTTCACCAAAATGTCTCTACGCCGATGAGCAAAGGTATTGTTCACCAAAATGTCTCTACGCCAATGAGCAAAGGTATTGTTCACCAAAATGTCTCTACACTGATGAGCGAAGGTATTGTTCACCAAAATGTCTCTAGGTCGATGAGCAAAGGTATTGTTCATCAAAATGTCTCTAAGCCAATAAGCAAAGGTATTGTTCACCAAAATGTCTCTACACCAATGAGCAAAGGTATTGTTCACCAAAATGTCTCTAGGTCGATGAGCAAAGGTATTGTTCACCAAAATGTCTCTACACAAATGAGCAAAGGTATTGTTCACCAAAATGTCTCTACGTTGATGAGCAAAGGTATTGTTCACCAAAATGTCTCTACGCCAATGAGCAAAGGTATTGTTCACCAAAATGTCTCTACCCGATGAGCAAAGGTATTGTTCACCAAAATGTCTCTACGCCAATGAGCAAAGGTATTGTTCACCAAAATGTCTCTACGCTGATGAGCAAAGGTATTGTTCATCAAAATGTCTCTACGCCGATGAGCAAAGGTATTGTTCATCAAAATGTCTCTACACCAATGAGCAAAGGTATTGTTCACCAAAATGTCTCTACACCAATGAGCAAAGGTATTGTTCACCAAAATGTCTCTACGTCGATGAGCAAAGGTATTGTTCACCAAAATGTCTCTACACCGATGAGCAAAGGTATTGTTCACCAAAATGTCTCTACGTTGATGAGCAAAGGTATTGTTCACCAAAATGTCTCTACGCCAATGAGCAAAGGTATTGTTCACCAAAATGTCTCTACCCGATGAGCAAAGGTATTGTTCACCAAAATGTCTCTACGCCAATGAGCAAAGTATTGTTCACCAAAATGTCTCTACGTCGATGAGCAAAGGTATTGTTCACCAAAATGTCTCTACACCAATGAGCAAAGGTATTGTTCACCAAAATGTCTCTACGTCGATGAGCAAAGGTATTGTTCATCAAAATGTCTCTACGCCGATGAGCAAAGGTATTGTTCACCAAAATGTCTCTACGCCAATGAGCAAAGGTATTGTTCACCAAAATGTCTCTACACCAATGAGCAAAGGTATTGTTCACCAAAATGTCTCTACGCTGATGAGCAAAGGTATTTTTCATCAAAATGTCTCTACGCCAATGAGCAAAGGTATTGTTCATCAAAATGTCTCTACGCCGATGAGCAAAGGTATTGTTCACCAAAATGTCTCTACGCTGATGAGCAAAGGTATTGTTCATCAAAATGTCTCTACGCCGATGAGCAAAGGTATTGTTCATCAAAATGTCTCTACACCAATGAGCAAAGGTATTGTTCACCAAAATGTCTCTACACCAATGAGCAAAGGTATTGTTCACCAAAATGTCTCTACGTCGATGGGCAAAGGTATTGTTCACCAAAATGTCTCTACACCGATGAGCAAAGGTATTTTTCATCAAAATGTCTCTACGCCGATGAGCAAAGGTATTGTTCACCAAAATGTCTCTACGCCGATGAGCAAAGGTATTGTTCACCAAAATGTCTCTACGCTGATGAGCAAAGGTATTTTTCATCAAAATGTCTCTACGCCGATGAGCAAAGGTATTGTTCATCAAAATGTCTCTACACCAATGAGCAAAGGTATTGTTCACCAAAATGTCTCTACACCAATGAGCAAAGGTATTGTTCACCAAAATGTCTCTACGCCGATGAGCAAAGGTATTGTTCACCAAAATGTCTCTACACCGATGAGCAAAGGTATTGTTCATCAAAATGTCTCTACGCCGATGAGCAAAGGTATTGTTCACCAAAATGTCTCTACGCCAATGAGCAAAGGTATTGTTCACCAAAATGTCTCTACACCAATGAGCAAAGGTATTGTTCACCAAAATGTCTCTACGTCGATGGGCAAAGGTATTGTTCACCAAAATGTCTCTACACCGATGAGCAAAGGTATTGTTCACCAAAATGTCTCTACGTTGATGAGCAAAGGTATTGTTCACCAAAATGTCTCTACGCCAATGAGCAAAGGTATTGTTCACCAAAATGTCTCTACTCCGATGAGCAAAGGTATTGTTCACCAAAATGTCTCTACGCCAATGAGCAAAGGTATTGTTCACCAAAATGTCTCTAGGTCGATGAGCAAAGGTATTGTACACCAAAATGTCTCTGTTTTATAATTTAGGATATTACATTTATATTTTTTATTGCATGCCAGATTTTATAAGTTCCCATGCAGAGTTTTATGTGTGCCAAAATTATAATTAAAAATTAGGGTGTATATACTTAACACTTCCTAAGTATTTTCTCTCTTAATTAATTCATGTTGTAGAAGTGCACGTAAGTCACGAAATGTAAACATATAAATAGACTCAAATTTGTAATAGTCCAAAAGATTGTTCATTGCTAATAAACTCCATAAAACAAACGAATCAGAGTGCAGATCAATTTTCTGGACGAACTCAGTAAATTCTGCGACAAGTGGTCCTTCGAGCCGGATAGTATGGAGGAGTTAGCAAGAAAGAAAAGAGTACGAGCAGGTCATCGCGGTTACCTGACGAAAGTTGTGGCGTCGGCAGCAGGCTTAGTCGACGCATTCGATGAACGAAGAAAGAATGACGCGGAAGAGCAACGCGACAAAATCTTGGAGACAGTCGCTATGCTCCAAAAACTGAATGAAGACATCCTTAACTTGATTGCTGGGGACGAAGAAGCGTCAGAACTTGACATTGTCAGCGAAGTCGAGGAAGCTGGAAGAATAAGTTCTGAAGCAAAGTCGATGGCGAGGAAGCTTCGCCAAAAGATTGACGGCAATTGCGCTTCGGAAAATAGAATGAACAGTTCGTTAAGGTCTGACGGAGGAGCGTCGGTGACCAATAGAACAGTTTGCGCAAAATTGCCAAAGCTGCACGTTAAGCGGTTCAATGGAAATGTTTGCGAATGGCAGGAGTTTTGGGATTCCTTCGAAAGCGCCATTCACGGAAATGGAAGTTTGTCCGACGTTGACAAATTCAATTATCTTCGGGGACTCTTAGGCGAACCAGCGAAGTCATGTATCGCGGGATATTCTTTGACTTCGGCGAACTACAACGCTGCAATAGACGCGTTGAAGGAACGCTATGGGAAGCCAGAATCGGTCCAACGAGCGCACATGCAAAACTTTTGAACTTAGATAGAGTGAAAGATCCGAGAGATATTACGTCTCTTCGTCACTTGTGTGATAGTGTCGAAGCACATCATCGAGGTTTGGATGCATTGGGAGTGGACAGCGCTACGTATTCATCAATCGTGGTACCTTACGTTTTGAACTTGATACCGGAATCGATTCGATTGTTGATCACGAGAGGCGAAAACTTCCATCAGTGGGATATGGACGATATGTTAAGAGCGTTAAAGTGCGAAGTTGAGCTGCGAGAAGAGCATCGAGTTCAGAGAGAGCAACGAGAACGGCATGGTGATCCTGAGAAGTCGTCAAATGGAGCCAGGCGGAACGATACGAAAACAGCAAGCGCCCTCCTGACAAAATCGGGACCGGTTCGTTGCGCATTCTGCCTGGGATGTCATCGGCATGAAGAATGTGAGAAGATCAAGTCAATTGAGGAACGTAAGAATATTATTAAGAAATACGGTCGTTGTTATATTTGTTTGGAAAAGGGCCACATGGCTCGTGACTGTGACAACAATATTAAATGTAGTATATGTAAGAAGAATCACCACAAGGCTCTGTGTGATTCGGGAAAGGAAAGTAAGCCCCAGGGAACTGTTGGACAAGGGGAGGTTGGGAATGTAGATGCCAATAGTAGTAATACTCTATTTGTAAGTCCTAAGAATAGTTGTGAAAAGGCAGGATGCAATGTTGCTTTGCAAACTGCACAAGCAAAACTGGTTGGTAGTAAGTCGGGACGAGTAAGGGTTTTGTTGGATTCTGGGAGTCAGAGATCATTTGTTACTGAAAGGACGGCTAAAGCGTTGGGATGTAAAGTCGTTCGTGAAGAAAATCTGAGAATAGGAACGTTTGGGAAAAGGGCTTTAGAGAACGAGTTGAGAAGGGTTGTGCGATTGGATTTGAGTTCGTTGTCGGGTGGTGAAGTCGTATCTATCGAGGCATATGTTGTACCAGAAATATCAGTAATTAGTAATCAACATTTGGAGGTGGTTCGAAATAACTTTGAACATTTGAAGGGGTTGTGGTTGTCTGATGTTTGTAAGGTAAATGAGGAATTGGAGGTAAACGTACTCGTGGGTGCGGATTACTTGTGGTCGTTGCAGAAAGGTCGTATTATGCGAGGGAAGCAGGGGGAGCCTGTGGCTATCGAGACGGTGCTTGGATGGGTAGTTTCAGGGCCGGTTGGAAGCACGGATAAGAATCAACCCGCCACTGCTCAGGTAAATTTTTGCTCCGCTAATAAAACTTGTATCAACGTAGAAAACTTTTGGGATTTAGAAAGCCTAGGAATTAAGGACAAAGTAAGTGATGTGCATGAATCGGTCATAAACGATCTTAGTTTTGACGGTACGCGTTATTCAGTGGGGTTGCCCTGGAGGGTCACGATCCTTTACCTACTAACTATGACTTAAGTCTTAAGAGAATGAAGGGACAAATCAGACGACTAGGTAAGAACCCAGAATTACTGAAGGAATATGACACTATCATTAAGGCCCAAGAAGAGTTAGGCATCATAGAGAGGGTAGGAAAAGATAGTGTGATTAATTCTCATGCCAAAATACATTACATGCCTCATCAAGCTGTCGTGCGAAAGGATGCCAAGACGACAAAGGTTAGAGTGGTTTATGACGCAAGCGCTAAAGTACTCAAGTCAAGTGTCTCTTTGAATGATTGTTTGCATATCGGACCTTCACTTAATCCACTTTTGTTTGATATTCTGCTTAGGTTCCGTGAGCAAAGAATAGCGCTAATAGCGGACATAGAGAAGGCCTTCCTAAACATTGAAGTGCACGAAAGGGATCGAGATAGCCTAAGGTTTTTGTGGGTAGATGATGTACTGCGCAACAATTTGAATCTTGTAGTTTACCGTTTTGTAGAGTCGTATTTGGGGTGAATTCGTCACCATTTTGCTTAATTCGACGTTAAGGCATCATATTAGCAAATATTTACAGTGCGATAGGGATTTTCAGAAAAACTGCTAAAAGCTTTTACGTGGACGATCTTGCCAGCGGTGAATCTAGTACAGAGCGAGCGTATCAGCTATATCGTAAGGCCAACGAACGCATGAATGAAGGCGGATTTAAGTTACGCAAATGGCGGACTAATGATAGTGCGTTAAGATCGCAAATTGAAGAAGATGTGCGTGACGTGGAAAGTAGTTGCGTTGATGAGCAAACGTATGCGAAAACCACGCTTGCTCAAGTACAGGGTCAATTTGGTAAAGTATTAGGGTTGGAATGGGATAGCGTCGGGGACGTAATAATATTCGATTTCGAAAATTTGAGTGCGAAAGCGGAAAACACGGAACCGACGAAGAGAAATGTGTTGAGTCTGTTAGCTTGTATCTTCGATCCATTAGGGCTCTTGAGTCCTACGATTGTTAAAGCTAAAATTTTCTTTCAAGATATTTGTTACAGTGGCGTGGATTGGGACGATACATTGCCTAAAAGTGTGAAAGAGAAGTGGGAGAAGTGGTTGAGAGATCTAAAGGAGGTAAAGAGTGTTTCAATAGGCAGGTACTCGAGCGGCGTGACTGACACATCTGGCTCAGAATCAAAGCAGAGATATTTTTGCATGGATTTGGGGATGCGTCAAAGCGAGCTTATTGTGCGGTTGTGTATCTAGTAGTTTTGAACGGTAACGATGTTCGTGTTAAGTTGATTGCCAGCAAAACAAGAGTAGCCCCGATGAAAGAACTTAGTATTCCGCGGTTAGAATTAATGGCAGCTAGAATATTGGCTCATTTAATGTCTGCAGTCAGGAAAGCGTTAGAGTCAGAGTATAATTTTGAGGGCATTAAGTATTGGACTGATAGTATGACTGTTTTGTATTGGATAGTCAACTCAGGCAATTGGAAGCAATTTCTTCAGCATAGAGTTGACGAAATATTAAGGCTTAGTTCAAAAACAGAGTGGAGTCATTGTCCAGGTAAGGAAAACCCTGCAGATTTAGGGTCGCGAGGGGTCTTGATGACTGAGTTAAAGAACGCGGAGGTTTGGTGGTCAGGACCGTCTTGGTTGCGGGGTAGTCCAAGGCATTATCCTATGGTGAAGGAGATAGTTCCCACAGTAGACAGCAAGGTTGAAGAGAAAAGGTCATTTGTTGTTAACCTAATCATAAGCGCAAGGTCATTGTTTGGAATTGGTAATGTCATTAGCATAAGTAAATACAGCACACTTACACGGCTGTTAAGAGTTACTGCGTGGGTGAAAAGATTCGTCTATAATTTGAAACAAAAAAGACTAGGATTAGAAATTTTTACCGGACCAATAAAAGCGAGTGGATAAAGTCAGCCCAGCTAGAGTTACGAGAGCAACCCGAGTTTAAGCAGTTAGAAAAACAGTACGGACTGATAGAAAGGAACGGGATACTGCATTGTACGGGAAGATTGGGTGAATCAGATTTGGAGGCAGAAGCTAGAGAGCCGATTGTTTTGCCTAGGAGACAGTATTTCACAGAGCTAGTGATTAGGCAGTGTCATGAATCTGTTATGCATGGGGGAGTTCGGAGCACGTTGGCGCAACTGAGGTCGAAGTATTGGGTACCCAAGGGCAGACAGGAAGTTAAGAGAGTGAGCGGTGGATGTGTAGCTTGTAAACGATGGAACAGTAAGCCGTGTACACAAATAAAGCAAGCAGCGTTACCAGAGTTTAGGGTTAGGAGAGCCGCACCATTTGAAAATTCAGGCGTAGATTTTGCAGGACCTTTGTACGTAAAAACAAAGGCAAGTATGAGCAAGGTGTACATTGCGCTGTTCACCTGCTGTGTGACACGCGCGGTTCACTTAGAGTTAGTGCACGATTTGAGTGCAGCGACATTTCTGCGCTGTTTAAGATTTTTTGCAAGGTTTGGAACACCGAAACGTATTGTTTCTGACAACGCCAAAACATTTAAAGCCGCAAAAAAGACGTTGCGCGACTTATTTCAATGCGAAGAAGTAGATAATTGCCTTAGCGCTAAGAACATTGAGTGGCGATTTAACCTAGAGAGGCCCCATGGTGGGAGGGTTTTCGAAAGGATGATAGGGCTAGTGAAAGTCTGTTTAAGGAAAGTTTTGGGCAACGCAAAACTTACTTTCGACGAACTGACAACTGTTCTAGCTGAAGTTGAAGCTAATTTGAATTCTAGACCCTTAACGTATGAGTACGAGGAAGTGAATAGTGAAGTACTTACTCCTGCACATTTAGTCTATGGTAGGCGCATCGTGACATTACCCGATAGCAAGGACTCAAAAATTAATGATTTAGCACAAGATTTGACTAGAACAAACACTAGGACACGATTCAAACATTTAAGTACCATACTGGAGCATTTTTGGAGCAGGTGGAAACGGGAGTATCTCACGAATCTTCGGGAATTTCATAAGGTTGGGATGGCAGACAAACAGTCGGCGATAATTAAGCCAGGGGATGTGGTCATTGTGTTTGAGCAGGGTAAGAAAAGGGGGGAGTGGAAGACAGGTGTGATTCAGGAATTGATTTGTGGCAAGGATAAGGTCGTTCGTGGTGCAAAGGTTTGCGTGTTGACAAACGGTCGTCGCCAGGTGTTGAATAGAGCGATTCAGCATTTATATCCAGTTGAGGTTAAAGACGAGAGTAAGGATGAAGGGGTTGTTAAGGAAGATATAGTTAGCGGATGTAAGGAGAAGACTAAGAGAAAGGCGAATAAGCAAAGGTATTGTTCACCAAAATGTCTCTACACCAATGAGCAAAGGTATTGTTCACCAAAATGTCTATAGGTCGATGAGCAAAGGTATTGTTCACCAAAATGTCTCTAGGTCGATGAGCAAAGGTATTGTTCACCAAAATGTCTCTAGGTCGATGAGCAAAGGTATTGTTCACCAAAATGTCTCTACACAAATGAGCAAAGGTATTGTTCACCAAAATGTCTCTAGGTCGATGAGCAAAGGTATTGTTCATCAAAATGCCTCTACGCCGATGAGCAAAAATATTGTTCATCAAAATGTCTCTACGCCAATGAGCAAAGGTATTGTTCACCAAAATGTCTCTACGCTGATGAGCAAAGGTATTGTTCATCAAAATGTCTCTACACCAATGAGCAAAGGTATTGTTCACCAAAATGTCTCTACGTCGATGGGCAAAGGTATTGTTCACCAAAATGTCTCTACACCGATGAGCAAAGGTATTGTTCACCAAAATGTCTCTACGTTGATGAGCAAAGGTATTGTTCACCAAAATGTCTCTACGCCAATGAGCAAAGGTATTTTTCACCAAAATGTCTCTACTCCGATGAGCAAAGGTATTGTTCACCAAAATGTCTCTACGCCAATGAGCAAAGGTATTGTTCACCAAAATGTCTCTACACTGATGAGCAAAGGTATTGTTCACCAAAATGTCTCTACACTGATGAGCAAAGGCATTGTTCACCAAAATGTCTCTACACTGATGAGCAAAGGTATTGTTCACCAAAATGTCTCTACGTTGATGAGCAAAGGTATTGTTCACCAAAATGTCTCTACACGGATGAGCAAAGGTATTGTTCACTAAAATGTCTCTACGCCAATGAGCAAAGGTATTGTTCACCAAAATGTCTCTACGTTGATGAGCAAAGGTATTGTTCACCAAAATGTCTCTACGCCAATGAGCAAAGGTATTTTTCACCAAAATGTCTCTACTCCGATGAGCAAAGGTATTGTTCACCTCTACGCCAATGAGCAAAGGTATTGTTCACCAAAATGTCTCTACACTGATGACCAAAGGTATTGTTCACCAAAATGTCTCTACACTGATGACCAAAGGTATTGTTCACCAAAATGTCTCTACGCCAATGAGCAAAAGTATTGTTCCCAAAATGTCTCTACACCGATGAGCAAAGGTATTGTTCACTAAAATGTCTCTACGCCAATGAGCAAAGGTAGTGTTCACCAAAATGTCTCTACCAATGAGCAAAGGTATTGTTCACCAAAATGTCTCTACACCAATGAGCAAAGGTATTGTTCATCAAAATGTCTCTACCCCAATGAGCAAAGGTATTGTTCACCAAAATGTCTCTACACCAGTGAGCAAAGGTATTGTTCACCAAAATGTCTCTACGCCAATGAGCAAAGGTATTGAATTTCATGATTACTGATGGATCAGTACTATTGATTGCATTGTGTGTATCTGCGCAGTATAAAGCAATTTACTATAATGCCATCATACAAAACTGAAGATCTCGTCAAAAAAAGGCATACTTTTCAGAATACTGAGAATATAGGCTGAGTAGATACATTGATGATTGTCATTTTGAGAGTGCAGTAACTGGCTTTGACAAAAAAATGATACGATGAACCTGACGGTTGAAATAAACAATTAAGACCTATAATTAATAGTATACCTCAGCAGCAGCACTCTTCTCCCTGAATGCTTTTAACTTTTCTCGCCGTTTCAATGCTTCTTGCTCTAATGAAGTTTCTTCGGCCATATTTATTTATAGAGTTTTATATTGACCACGCGCACATAGAAGTAGCCTGGGCCGAGAGTCAACAATACAGAGTGATAAAGAGATGTCAGCAAATGGCAGAAAACGATAACACAAAAATCTAGCTTGTACTATTAATTCGTACGAATAACTATGGCATCTACAGATACTCTAATACTGGTATGTTTCATCTTATAGATAATTCTAACATTAGTTGCAGAAATATAAATTATATTTTGACTCAAGCAAGTGCAATATTTTACTTGGCAACAGGGCAGTATCAACTATTATTGTCGAGCAAGATTTTACACTCACCTACAAAACGTGTGTTTGCAAGGTTTGCAGAAGCACGGAGGTGATCCGGTTTTGACATTTTGGAAAGCATTTGGAATACTGATGGAAGGTTTGTTGTTAAAAATGTAGAGTATTGTCGTTCTCATTCTGCAGTTGTTGCGTTGCATAGTCCATTGCAACAGGTTTTCTCTAGATTTTCTCGTAATTGATTGTCCCATTTTTACTAGTACTTTGTCATTTGATGCATTTTGACTGTTTTAAAACTGTCTGTGTATACTGCACCCTTCAAATAAGAAAATTTTCACTTTATTTTGTCTCCTGTCATTTCACATATGAAGCTTTACATTCTGCCAGCAGAATTTATGTCAATTTATAGTGGTTGGTCTCTTATCCATCACTAAACTAGCTTGTGCTTGCTTAAAAGCTCTATTTCTTTGTATTTAAAATGATCCAATGATATTTATTAAAATATACTGTATTGTCAATACTTCATAATGGTTAATACATTGACTTGCAGATCGTGTGTCAGAAGCCATTAGAGAATTTGAATCCAAGAAAGTGAAGAAGTTGTTCTGTGTTGTTTGATGGCATTAATCTATGCACATAAAAAGGCACAATTAATTGACAAGGAAAGTGTACATGAATTGGAAACAAGATTGAAAAAGATTCGAACAAGTGTTGGTGAGAATGTGCTATACTTTGCTGCAATGCTTTTATGGCACACAGGGCATCATGAAAAAGCAAGAGAATATGTTGACAGAATGTTGAAAATGTCCAATGGTTCGAAAGAGGTTTTCTAAACATGCCTTTCACATCATAACCACAATTTAACCTGTCTTCTTACAAGTACACAAGATTCTGCCATTAAGAAATCCATAAAATATTTTGATGAGGCTTTACAGGGGTATGTTAATGTTAAGTCGGTGCAAACACAAAAAACATTTTTAATTTCTTTTATAAGACAACAAAAATGCAAAATAGACAAATGAACAGAAACATTTCAATTTTTCACTAAAATATATGCACAATTGATTTGCAAATTCTCTTTTATTGATTGATTCTTTTCATTGGTTGAGCTCAGATCAGTTTTCATTGGCTAATTCAAGCACAGCTATAGACCAATCAGCGCACATGTTTTAATGCATTTATTTTATAATCTACGTTGTTTTACACAAGCACATAGCTACATATTTTTGGTAAGGTGGTGAGAGTATGGAAGTACATTGAGTTATGTTTCAAACACTTAAAAAATTTATGAAGTTAGCTATTGGCAATTGAATTGAAGGGCAGCATTGATTGAAATAAAAATATTTCGGTGTCGTAGCTAACTGGCAAGTTTTAGTATTGCAATTCTATGATTGTATTGCAATAGTATTGAAACGATCATACATATGATCATTGAACGGAATAGTGTAACATAATTTTCTACTTAAGGTGGTTGTATGTTTTCCTTATTTTGAGCCTGCACTTATTGAAAAGATGAAAATTCAACTTGCTTTACAAGATTGGGAACAAACTATGGACGTTGCTCAAAGGTGATCTAGAATCTTTTTACAACGTATATTTGCGTTATAGAAACCAACATAACCATTGTTAGAATCTTGAATAACGTACGTACGGGTTATAAAAATTTACTTTTTCGAAATTCAGCATAAATGTTTAAATCAAAATTCAGCGTAAACATAAAATTATGTTTAACAAATCTGAGAAGAATTGGGACTACTGCAGTTTAGTGGACACCTTGGACGCTGACCCAAACCCTAATCCTATAATTCTAAGCAAAAACGAGCCCGCGCTCCCCATACAAGCACTTCTGGTGTCCGCTAAACTGCAGTCCAGCCGAAGGATTAAACAGTCATCGTTTTATTCTATCATTTTTCTACTTCACTGCTATCAATTTTTTAACGGAGACAAAACACCTGATTTTATTTAATTTTTATCGAAGGTGTTTGAAATTAAACCGTTACTCTTTGGATGCTCACAAAATGAGTATTATATCTTTTCTGTTTCTTGATGGAAAGTACGATGAAGCTGCTGAAAAGATCAGTGAATTGATTCATCTCTATGACAGACATGAACCTAAAAGTCATTCACTGTATTTTGAAGCGGAAAGACTTTATAGCCGTGTGGTGAGTCTGGCAAAAATCATTTATCAGTTTTCTGCTATCGACTTGGAAGTGACTGACATTCGTTTTCATGAAATACTTTACCTACTAACTATAGAACTATATATACCCAAATAGTCTAGCATATACTAACACATTTTTTATTATATTTAAAAAAATGAACGCTTTTCTTGTAGTGTGGAAGGAATACATTAGTTCTTCAACAAACATTTGAATTAATTGTTCGAGCCCAGTCTCTCAATGAGACGAATGCCGAGTACACTGCTGAAGTACGCAGCTACCTTTGAATTTGTTTTTGAAATTTACTTAAATTGTACTTGACGTACTATAAAAATTCAATCTCTTTCTCAAATCTTTTCTTCTGAGAACACCTCATAACTACTTTACAACTTTTTTACAACTTTTTTACAACTTTTTTTACACGCATCTTTTATTTTTCTATTGTGTATACTGATTTGTTCTAAGTGTCCCAGTAAAGCGTTCTTGCCTCCAGTTAAGTGTACTAAATCGTTCTATGTATCATAGTAATGCGCTCTTGCTACAAATTGAGAAAACTTTTTCGTTCTTAATATGCTCGTAAAGCGTTTTTGCTACCAAATAAGAATAGTAATTCGTTCTAAGTATCCCGGTAAAGTATTCTTGCTAGCATTTAAGTTCTTGCCAAGTGTCCTAGTATTTTAAATCTATTGTAAATTTTCATTTCTAAACGACTTATGACATTATTTCTACCTGAACTATATCCCGAACATTGTTTTCATTATTTAGGTAAGAGAAGAAAGGCTCCGCGACCTATAGTCAACGATGTACTTCACACGCTAAAATCAGCGATGTCCTTATTACGTCGTTGTAAAGTCAATTCAGCCTTGACAGTCCAGTTGTTTTCTCAAATCTTTCATTTTATCAACATGTGGTTGTTTAATCGCATTGTTCTTGAACCGCAACTCAAACTCTGCACTCGATCCTGGGGGATATTGTTACTCAATAGACTAGAGCGTCTTCATTCTTCGGCTAAAATTCAAGGTATCGAATTGGCCGCTGAATGTCATTTGGCCAGAGTTGGTCAGGTGAGAGCTTCTTTACATACTTTGAATAAAGTCGAGTAATACTGTTATAATCCCTGTACCACTGCTCTTAAATGATCCCCTGTATCCATTGCCTTTGTTCTTAAATGATCCATCGTATACATTAGCACTGTTCTTAAATGATCCCTTATATACGTTAGCACTGTTCTTAAATGATCCCTTGTAACCATTACCTTTGTTCTTAAATGATCCCTTGTATGCATTAGCATTGTTCTTAAATGATCCCTTGTACCCATTAGCATTGTTCTTAAATGGTCTCCCTGTCCCTCACCTTTCTTTTGTAACGACCCCTGTATGTATTACTTTGACAGTCTGTTATAAGTAGTGTACTACATAATGAATCCCGTCCGCGATCATCACACAACATACTATACATCATATAATATACTATGTATATTAATCCTTGTTTATCCTTCCACCACCAGGCAGCATTGCTACTACAAATGCCAAAGCAAGATTCGGCAAACATCACATCAAATTGCTTCAAACTCAACTCACTTCAAATACGTCAACTTTTGGACTTTTATCAGCCAGAGAGGGACGAGCCTCCCGTCTCTTTGGACCTCATCGAAAAAGCAGTTAGTATTGCGGAGAGCGCCGCTGACCAGAGCGCCCGCATTGATGGAGATGAAGTAAATCTTGAAGAAGAACCGGAACTACAATTACCATTCTTACTTCCTGACGATAGTTATTTCGTCGAGAATACTTGCGGCGTGCCACTAGGATTGAAGGAGTTAGGAGTTCCTTTCTCCTCTAATTGCCCCAGGTAGCTGGATTGGATAATCTCAATCCTCGTGTTTCGACCCGCCGAATTCATCGAGAAACGATCAAGTTTTCTTTTACCAGTTTTATTCATGCTTTCCGATGTTTTTCCTGCAATGTTTTTCCAAAATTTTCAGAATGAACAAACATATAAAGAAGAGCTTTCGTAGAAGTTTCTTTCTAGATTAAAACTTTTCATGGAAAATTTACCTATCCTTAGCAAAAATAATTTAATTTGACTGTAGTTAAAATATATAATTTTTATGAAATAAAAAATCTTCCAAAAGGTTCATTACCAACTCAATACTTGATATAAGAAAAATGACACAATTGCTGATCAGTTATACTTCGAATTTTATACATACATATTCATCATGTTCCTCATTGCTCTAAATTGCCCTATTTACATATTCATCATAATACTGATGTTAACCCTAGCTCTTTCGCCCATGTTATACGTAGTTATTTCTAAATCTCGTAATGTTCTTCATTGCTCCTCATTGTCCCTTCTAAAGGTTTATGCAAACTTACAATCCAACCAAAGGCATCCGGATACTGGACAGTTCATTTTGAGGCTGTTGAAGGTAAATTTGCTCCATGATGTTCATTTGTTTTCAAAAGATGATTTTATGTTTGCTCACGACAATTTTCTTTCTCTTTGAATTTTTAGTAACCGAGGGTCCTCCTTTAGAGGTTTGTTTACAGTATACGTATGTCTTTATCTTGAACTTATAATCCTTAATCACAGGATTAAGTTTTATATCATGTGAATAACTCTTACAAACCTTGGGATAATGTTTAAAATCATGTGGCGAAATTTTTAATTGCGTAAGTGTAGATTCGAATTTTTCATTCGCTGGCTCCATGAGACTCAATTTTAAATCATGGAATTGGATATTTGTGTGTGAATGATCTAATTGTGAAAGATTATGTACATTCTTTGGGCTGAATGAAAAATCTCTCTCCATAGGCTCAATCCTATGTCACGGACCTAAAGCCATGGATTGAATCTTAAATCCAGGGGATTTTATCTTCAATTAATTTAACGGTTTTTATGTTGTTTATTTTGTAGACTATTAAAATTACTTTAAATAAAGGAAACAAGGGAATGGGCGTCAGCATCGTAGCTGCTAAGGTGAAAATCTTCAATTTCTTTACTTCTTCTCCCCCCCCCCCTCCCGCCGCGGCTATCATTAAGTTTGTAATGCCCCTAGTCTATCTCCCCCTGGCATTATCAGGCTGGTATTGGTCCCAAAATTCCCCTCTCCCTGCTCTTGATGGTTGTACAATCGTTGAAGGAGTATGAATCAAAACTATGTGTACCAACCTAAGTCCTCTCGTTAGTAAAAATCCAGGAAAAAAGAGTTAGTCCTGCATATCCAAAAAAACGCATTATATCTCAGGGCGGCGGTCAGGGAAAATCTGGTATATACGTTAAAGAGGTTATTGCCAATGGACCAGCTGCTGTGGTACGTCGATTGATGTTTTGGACATTTTTAAGAATTCTTTTTATTGGATAAATTGATAATTTTTTTTTGTTTTCTTTGTGTTTTAGGATGGCCGTGTGAGTCCCGGTGACCAAATCATTGAGGTTGACGGCGAGTCCTTGGTTGGGATAGAACAAGAGGAGTATGTATTTTCAGAGTTTTAATTTTAAGTGATGTCTTATGGAAAAATCGCGTTTTTTTACGATACCTGAATAAATCCCAACATCGTGATGTTATTATTTACGTATAATATTAAGATATGAAAGAAACTAGAACTGTCTTTTGAAATATCAGCACAGTCTACAGTTAGTATTGTAGTTCAGTTGGCAGACATTGAAGGGAATGATTATCTTGTTACTATACCTGAGTACATCACAACAACGTGATGTTATTATCTATGATATTAAAGATATGAAAGAAACTAGAACTGTATTTTAAAATATCATCATAGTCTACAGTTGGTATTGTATTCAGTTGAAGAGAATGATTATCTTGTTACTATACCTGAGTACATCACAACAACGTGATGTTATTGTGTATGATATTGAAGTATGAAAGAAACTAGAACTGTGTTTTGAAATATCATCATAGTCCACAGTTGGTCTTGTAGTTCAGTTAAAAGAACATTGAAGACAATAACACAATTTTGTTATTTATAATATGTTACGTACAAACAGAAGACTACAGTAGAAATCGCTACATCATCAACGTGTATTTTTCCTTATTTCTGTTTCTTTCTTTTTAAAGTGCTGTGAAGATTTTAATAAAATGTGGCTCCATCGTGAATTTGACAATTGCAAAAGGAGCTGCGGAAGGTCATGGTGTCGTGAAGATATTGAACGATGTCTTTTATAGGTCAAAACAACCAATTCCTAAATTGGTCAAAAATACCAAAACAAAATGGTAAATTTACCAATTTATTTGACCAATTTTATTTGGTTGTTTTACCATTAAATAAGCATTTTTTCAGGTGCATATCCATGACCATTTGACCAATATAGAGGATCTTTTAACTAAGCTAAAGAAAATCAATCACACAATTAGAAATAGCACATTTTTGCAAACACAGAATACTTAAAACCTCTACTACATGCCATTAATTAACACTACAAAAGTTTTCTACTTCATAGAAGAAATAAAATTATCGACAAAAGTTGGCAATTGAGCCTTACAATTGCCACTAATTTAAAAGCAAATGTTCTAAAAGAATAAATACATTTTGCCATGTCCATTAACGCCTTTAGGATACTCAGCATTAAAAGTATAAAAAGAACTAAGTAAAATAATAACTGCGTTGACAATATTTTCTGTTTTCAACTTTGCCACAATCATCCCCTCAGCCACCAACATTATTGAATGAATGTTTCTTAATGTTCCTGTTGATAGGAGTCTAGGAGACGAACTTTTGTTAATGATCTCTTGAACTTCCCCCAATCTTTAACCCTTCAACAGAGATAAAATTATTCATCAATTTTTCACACATTTATGCAGAAAATATTATTTGTGACAATACCAACTCTTACATCAACAATGTCCCAAAATAGCTTTTTGTTCATATCTTGATGGGTGCGTTGGTCATCTAACACAAAAGGCAAACATGCCATTATACACCGGTTCTTGACCTCTAAAATAATCAACATAGCATAGAATGAATATATTACCATTATCACTCTCTAAAGCATTAACACTTCAGTATAAATAGGGATTTTAACTTATTGATTTTTACACCAACCTTCCTCATCTTCAACTGGACAATCCTCCAGCTCTTCAAGGATAGTGCTGACATTCTTTTGCTTTGTATTTTTAATAGCAGACAGCATTTTATATTTGTGCAAATTCCATTGTTCCTTCATGTCTTGCACAACATCACTCTTCTCCAAAATACGTCCTAACTCTGCTTTCAGCTGGAAAAAATTATACCAAAAAACTAATTATCTTTCTCTAAGTAATTGTGTTACAACTGACAGTTTTGCTACAGCATACATACTAATGGACAGCGGCAGATTAATAATTGGCAAAAAACTCATATTCATAAATTCATATGCTACATATAATCTGTTGAATTAAAATTGTTTGTAGTACTAGAATCTAGTAAAGTATACCATGCACATATGAATATTACCCTCTCATCAGGCTAACATGCCTGATACTTCAAACAAACTCAAAAAATCAGAAAAAGAAATGAAACCTTACTTCAACTCCCTTGGTGTGTTTGAAAAAAGGGTAGTCATGCAGAAGCTTCCAAACCCTTGTATTGTTCACCAAAATGTCTTTATGCCGATGAGCAAAGGTATTGTTCATCAACACATTGATCTTGCTCAAGTCTTGCAAGCCAATATTAAACATTTCAACCAACTGCTTTTGTTGAATTACAATAGCTGCTTCTGTTTCACCTTCTAGAAGAGATGGGAGAGAATTGCAAGCTGATTTCTTACTTTTCCTACCAGGTTTTCCCTTTGGAATTAGGACCCTTCTTCAAGCCGCCGCTTTTGAGCTTGGGATGCTCTTCTTCAGATTAAGGACTCGGTCTGCTATTTTGTTTGCCCATAGTTGCTGGAAAAACAAAACAATGACAGTACTTTATGAAACTGAATTATGCAGCAATATAATTGATTTTTTTAACCTACATGACCAGAACCAAATGCTCCCTTTAAGAATGGATACTTTTGAATTAACATAAGAGCAATGTGTTTTCTTTCATGAACAGTTGGCGATTCAGTATGTGCCAAAATTGAAGAAGTTAATTGCCTGTTTAATGCATTTTTTTCATTTGGATTTAGTTCCTGCCTTTTTAATGCCTCCTCCACTGCTGGTTCCCACTATACACAAACAGCATGGTTTAATATGATATGGCAATCTTTATTAACATATTTTAAACTTGTAGTGTGTAAAAAACTAAGTTTTAATGCTACTTACTCTTGTTGGCAAACAAAACTTGGACAACCAATTGGAATTGTTCACATTAGCTGTCAAGGGACTCCTTGGAACTAGGCTGGTCCTTGAGATGTCTCTCTGGTCCAATGTTCTTAAAAAATAGTAAAATTCAACCTTAACATACAACATAAAGAAGTAAAGAAATAACGCAGCAAAATTTTCAAAACTCCAACACTGTATTTACTGTGGAATTTATGTAATTCCACAATGAGTAACAAAAATGAAAAGTGGAATTACATCCATTCATGGAAAGAGAATGTTAATTTCTTTATATAACAAAAGATTTTATATAACAAAATAATTGAGTTCAGGAAAATTTCCTATGTAACTGAGCCAAACATGAAACATTGTATATTTATGAACTAGCATTAGAACAAATATTGTATACAAATAATGGCTTCAGCCTTCATACCTCATCATTTTGATGATCAGCTGAAGTACTAAGAACAATGTCTACATTTACATCCAAGTTGATGGTTCTTATGTGGCTTGAATAGATGTGCGAGTACACTGTTGAAGCTGATTCTGACAAGCCCTGTTAATAGAGGATTGAATCATAAATTCTACTTATAGTGACTCTTCATCAAACATAATACAACATAACTAAAGCATAGAGGAACAAAACAATATATAGTAAGCAGACTAAATGCTTTTAAGCTAATTCAGGCAAAATAGGAGCAATGGTTCATCTGGATCCACACAATTACAACACAAACAAGTCAAGCTGGGTTGCTTGATACCTCATCATGATTTTCTTGATGATCAGCTGAATTACTCGGAATGTCTGGATTCACATCCTTGTTGATGGTTCTGATGTTGTTCGAAGTGACACAAGAGTGTGTTGTTGAAGCTGATGACCCCTGTTAATAGATGAAGCCTGAAATTTTACTTCTGGTGATTTTATAACGACACAATCAAAGCACATGGCAGTAAAAAATATAATCAACAAACCAATAACAAACCAAGTATTTTGAACGATTTTATGTAGAAAACCTGTAAGGCTTCAATGTACCTTTTGAGTAACGTCATTCCAAACACACGTAAACTTCTTGTGAAGTTTTATTCGAGGAATCATCTCATAAATATCATGTGGTTCTAAACTGAAAAAATCCTCGCCGTCGACTTGATTAGCTTTAAAAATATAAGAAGCAAAACGTCAATGAAATTACGTTATTGCTGTTGGTATTCTCTAAAAGCGCTTGACCAAATCTGCCTGCTAGCAAAACGTAAACAAGGCAAGTCATCTATAAATCTAATTTTGAATTATTTTCTACACTAGATTTATGCACGAGACAACAACCCTCACACATGCGACCTACATTTCAGGATGAGACAATACCTTTAAAATCTTCGACAATTTCATCCAATTTGTTGTTTTTCAAAAAAAGAATAATGTCAGCGACAGATGATTGTTTGTTGATTTCCATTTTGCCCACAATAGAAGAGTTTAAACGCTTAAATGCACTTCGACAAAGCACAAGAAGTTTAGAAACACGCCACGCGACTACATACATCGGCAACAGGCAGTCAGACACGTGCCGCTTTGCGTAATGGGATGTCAAGTGGCCAAATCGACCAATCGCCGCAAGTTCGCATCTAATTGGACAAAGAAATGCACTTAATGACACTTAATACTGATCTGATTTTACTCAGTCATTGCTCTAACAAACGGTAACGGAGTTGTCACTTGACTAGTGACGCAAGAATATTCGTAAAAATTCAATTAATTATGCCACGATTGTGTTGTCAGGTATGTGCAACGTTTTTTTCAACGTCTGTCGCTGGATTGTTGCATCATTTGGTCGCTGTTCATGAACACGATGCCAGATTGCATATTTCTGCGAAGTGCCGGAATGTAATTCAACCTTCGCTAAGGTAAACTTTTGATTCTTGATACGACACTGATTTGTTTGTTATTTGTTAAAAATATTTACTTATTCAGTGCGCTCACGGATTTGTTGTTTAGGTTAACTCTTACAAAAGTCATCTTAGAAGAAAGCACGCCAATGTTGACTTAAACTCACGTGATCTATGTTGCGTTGAATCAGCGAGTAGCACTCACAACAATTTTGTCCTGATGAGGATGGCCTTGAACTCTTAATTGATGAATTCAACAGGAAAATAAACTTGATGACTCTGTTCAAGCAATGGAACACAAAATGCTCAATTTCTTCTAAAACAAAAGAAATCAATCTGCTCACACAAAATGTGTGGATAACATTGTAGAAGATTCCACTGAACTTGTCCAAGGAACAGTCAAAGCAATTAAACACGGTTTGCAAAATTGCTTAGAGAAAGCTGGATTAAATTATAATGATGTGCCAGGTCTTGATGAATTATTTGATGAAGGACATGTATCTCAAATCCATTCAAACATATTTCCACAAAGTATAAACAGAATGCTTATTTTGAGGAGCATTTTGGCTTAGTTGTAAGTTTTATTTCTATGTTTTTGACTTTTTGAGTTTTTGGATAAAGTTTTTTTGAGATTTTTAACATATTTGAGCCAGCTGCTCTTTAGTGCTTGTTATGCATAATCATTATTTTAATTGTAGCAACCTAGACAAATTAATCTTGGACACAGAGTTGTGAAAAGACGTTCAAGGACTGTGTACAAAGAAGTTATTAAAGATGAAGAAATCATGTACATACCACTGCTTAAATCCTTGGAAAAAATGCTCAATGTAAAAGGAGTACTTGAACAGGTCAGATTGTTAATAGCATGGTTGTGTGTTTTTTTTATGTTGGCAAGTTTATGAAACTATGACAACTACATCTTTGCAAGTATCAATAACATATCAATAACAGGGTTGCAAAATATTAATACATGTTCTATGTATAACCATAAAAGGAACTTTATGTTTGGAAAAGTATATTCCAATTATTTCATGAAAATATGAAAATAGCCTGATTTCAATTTGAAATGTCTGATGGTAGGAAGGCACCCATCCTATCAATCAGACATTTCCATTGCTGGTTAATAATAAATTTAATTTATTAATAAATTTAATGTTTTCATTCTTCGATTTCAATTTCAGCTAAACCATGGTCATCTTCGGCAACATAAACATGATGATGTGATTGAGGATGTTTGCGATGGCCAGTATTTCAAAACCCATCCTCTGTTTTCCAAGGACTCAACTGCTTTACAAATCATGCTTTACTATGATGAGTTGGAAATTGCAAATGCCCTTGGTAGTAAAACTGGAAAGCATAAGTTAGGTAATAGTTTAATGACATCATAGTGACTAAATCAGTCACTCAAATGTAAAAAAGTGTATGAGCAATGAAAGGCTATAAGAAGCTCTTATTACATCATATGCCATTATTTCTGTATGACAGGAGTTGTTTACTACACAATTGGAAATATTGATCCTCGATATCGATCCCAGTGTGATAACATTCACCTACTCCTTATGGCAACAGTTCCAATTATCAAAAAATATGGCATTGACATTCTCTTGGAGCCTTTCATGAATGACCTTGAATACCTTGAACAAGTAAGTGATCCTATTTATTGTTTTTTAGCTTATTACCTGTTATTGATAATTGTACAGAGTAAGTAGTTTGGTAAAAATTGCTTAAAATTAACTGTCACACTTCTTTTTTGAGGATGGTGGACACCAGTTCATTGTTAAAGGTGAACCTATGTCATTTTCTGGGACTATTGTGTTGGTTTCTGGAGACAATCTTGGATCACAACTAATGGGTGGATTCAAAGAAGGTCCAGGTGCATATTTGAAATGCCGGCAATGCATGGGACCACTGAACAAATAAAGCAGAAGGTATGTATGTTTATGATAATAAATTATTAACCAGCTTCAACATAGATCAAATGTTTTATTATGGTTTTTAGCAGACCAGGAACATACACTTTAAGGTAATTCTTTCAGTTTTTAGAAAAACATTTTACACTTCGAACTCGTGCTGGTCATGACCGCCAATGTGAACTGATTAAAGAAAACCCAGAACTGAGTAAAGCATATGGGCTTTGCAGGAGATCAATTCTTTGCAACTCTAGGTATTTTCATGTAGCAGATGGCATGCCAGGTGATGCAACAAACAAAACAAACAAACAACATTTGTATACCGGCCAGTATTAATCCCTGCCAGGGGGGTTGACCGGTCCATGAACTTTGCCAGGTGATGCAATGCATTATATACTAGAAGGAGTACTTCAGTATGTATGTAAATAATTGCTGAAGGACTTCATATTTAAAGAAAAATTTTTAACAGTGGAGCAACTTAATGAAAGAATTAACTCTTTAGATTATGGATATTTTAATGATAAAAACAAGCCATCACCAATCACCCGGACAACTTTAAGGAGTGAAAACAATAGTTTAAAGCAAAAAGTTAGGGTTTAGTGATTGTCACAAGCATTAATACCATCACCCTTGATTTAAATGATTGGTTTTTCTTTTTATAGCAAGACAAATGTGGTGCCTTGGAAAATTCCTTCCTTTAGCTCTCGGCAATGCCATTCCTCAGGATGAAGAAAAGTGGATGCATTTTCTGTTGCTCCTTAAAATTGTTGACATTGTTTTTTCACCAATCACAAACACTGATGAACTTGCTATCCTGGAAGGATACCTGGAGGAATTTTTGTGGAAATTCACCCAGCTTTATCCTGGGCTTTCAGTTATACCCAAGATGCATTACTTGGTTCATTACCCAGCTCATATTTACAGGTATGATTTTGCTGGTTTGTATCTTAGTTTATAAATAAAAATATGGTATGTAACTCAAAATGCATGTGAAAGTTACATCATTGGTTTCCCTCTAGTTAACTTGATTTTGTCAGATTTGGACCAATGATTCAGAGCTGGTGCATGCGATATGAAGCAAAGCACAGTTACTTTAAAAGATTGGCTTCATACCTTGAAAACTTCACTAATGTTGCATTTAGCCTTGCTGAACGACATCAAACCAGAAGTTTCTATCTAAGAAATCAACCCATTGCAAAAAAGCCTAAAATTGGTAGGATTTTTTTGAATAGATTGATTTTAATTCTAAAAACAAAGAGGTCAATTTTTAGTAACGTCTCTAGTAAGATAATAAATTGATGTTTGTTTGTTTGTTTTTCTTTAGATTCTGCAAAAGAAATTGTTGCTAAGAATAGTGAACATTATTATTTGCTCAAAGAGAAGGAACCTAACTTAAGTGGCATTAGTATTTTGTCAAGGTAAAGTGCACATAGTGATTATTTTTATTACAGAAGATGGTGACTATTGCAAGAAAAAATTGCTAGTACTTTATAAAATGAAACATCAGACAGTATCTTCATTGATATCTAATAGCTTTTTTCCTTTTTCATTTGTGTGCACATTTCATGCGACCGATTTCATAAAGATGACAAATACTTTCAATATTGGCATCTTCGAATCCTTGATTCTAAGTAAGTACCGACCAGAAAGTATATGACAAAGAGTTTCTATAAAATATGCTTTATATGTTCTTACATCAACAATAGCCACAATTGTATCTGAGCAGTTTACAGCCAAGTTATTTATAGGTTTCTTTATGTTGCTATATAATGAT